CGGATTAGATGCAATTTCAGAAAACTTCAGGGATAGCTGCAGTAAGTTCTCCTGAAGCTGGCAGGTGTTCTGTGCCATTGGTCTTTGTGATGTTAGAGCTACCAAAATCCTCTTCATAACTGTCAGCTTTTCACCAGTTGTTAACAGTATAGGGGACAGTGAAGGTATTGGGGAGAACAGTTTTAAGGATGGAGGTGCAATTTCAGGGATGTTGAGAAAGCTCTTCCTAGGGAGGCCTGTTTCCTCCTCTGGCTGTTTAGCAGATCTCTCCTTCAGTATTTACTCTAATGTTTGTAAAAACAGATAGCTCGTTCAGAGAGCAAAGCCCCACTGAACTGGAGACAGAGAAAACCTGAATAAACAAACATGTGGTGCAGATTAGTAAGAACATCTGTAGATTTTATATTGTTTTGAGAACACATACCACATAGCTCTTCATTTCTTGTGCTTTTCTAGTTTCTCCCTTTCTTTCTTTCTTTCTGTTTTCTTCTTCTTTTTAAATATATTGCTAATAAAGGTTGGAGGTAGAAAGCACAGCTGGGCTCTGCATGACATGCCACTGTTTAATTTCTAGCTTGGAGGATGAGAAGAAGAGTAGTTTTATTGTATCCTAGAAGAGAATAAAGCCACATGCAAATTCCAGCCATGAACATCTGTTTCCTCTTTATGTGAAAGAATCCTCATATGGATTTGAAGGGAATCCCAGTTTTGAAGGGACTGATGAGGTTTTTTTTTGTTGTTGTTGTTTTTTTCCCTCCCCTAGTTCCTCCCCCCAGTCTCTCTTCTTTTCTTTGCGACTCCTTCAGCATGCTCTCCCTGCTGTCTGGCTGCTGAGTTTCCTTCTGGAAGATGTCAGCTTGCATTTGAACGTTGCGTATTGAACGGACGAATTTTGAATTACTTTAAAATGTTGTATTACAGTTTTGAAGAGTGTTACTGCTCCTCTGTTTACCTCTGTTACCTCTGTTTTTGGTACTGATGCATTTCTGTGACACTACTTTTAAGCTCCTGCTAAAATTTTTCTTTTTTAATTGAACAGTATTTGCTGAGACTTCCTCTGTTCTGAGGTAAATCTCCAGTGCATGCAAGTTGATATTTTTAGAACTGGAGATTTGTTTTTCCTCTTTCTCTGGCTGTGAAGTGCAACTGTTTCTAGCAGTAGCTTATGAAAAAATAATCTGTTAAAATCCTTCTGTATTAGAGAGAATGAGAATTAAGTAGATCTGTAAAAATAAAAAAGAATCTGCAACTTTGCTGCATTAAGTTAGGTATCAGGTGCTAAAGAATGCAGGGGCCAGAGTAACTGACAATTTCACTAACCTATAAAACATTTTAGAATAATGATTTACAGTCGTCTGGGAGCTTTACACTTTTTTTTTTTTTTTTTTTAGTGTAAGATTTGACTGTGTTGAGCAAACAGCACAGTTATATAACATCAAGCCAGACATGAGAACTGGTACTCTCTGTCTATTTTAAATGAACGTCGAATGAGAGGTTGGTGGAGCTTGCCAGGGTTTCATATTTGCTGGCAGAAAGTTACCCACATGTGTGGACCACATTTTCATTGTTGCCTTAGCCTATTTCAGGCATAAATATCGCTGCCTGGCAGGGTGTGATTCTGTTCGTTTGCTGAAGAGCTTTTCTTTTAAAAAGAAAAATGTGAAATGGAATCAAACGGTAAATGCTGTAACTGTTCAAACTGAGAATCATCCCCACATTGAGAGATTTTTGTCGCGTCTGTCATGGTGGTGGAGTAAAGGCTCACATGACATCTAAAGACTTTTCCATTTTTGGATGATTGTACTTGTGGAGATATTTCTTTTTTGCATATATTAATCCTACTTTTGGGCGTAGGCTGTTTAGTCTGGTTTCTTAGGGAAACTAGGCTTATGCAAGCAGGGTGTATGCACACAAGAGCACACAGCAGCGTGTACAGCCCAGCCATTTCTTCCTGCCCAATACCCCCTGGTTGCATTGGCCACAAAAATGTGGCAGAAAGGCAGAGGTTGCAAAGAGAAATTTAAGTTTCCATATGCCTCTTAAAAATAGGTGTATGAGGGGAGAGTAGAAGTAGTTTGGGGGTTTGTAGGAAGCCTTGCAACGTGAACCTAACTTTTAACAGGGGCTGTGGGATTGGCATTGCAGAGAGCTGTGATGAAGACCCCGGCTATGGGAAGAATGCTGATCTCAGCATGTAAATTATTAGGCCTTGGAGAATCTGATGACAAAAAGGAAATCTCCGGGAAGCCAGACTGGCTCCAGTTCCCCTACCCATGAAACTGCTTTTGTGGGTTTTGTTTTTAAATCAGGATGTTGTCAAGTAGGCTAGGAAGGAGACTTTGATTTTAGGAGATGGAGAACATTTCTTGTTAGGATCTTCTTGGTGCAAGTGAAGATGCTGTTTTGGTTTTGGTCCTTTCTTGTTTGTTTGTTTTTGCAAGCTTTCAAATACTGTTGAAGTGTGATTTATGAACATTTAGGCCCTTATGTTGCAGACATCTCAGGAAGGATGGAGCCTACTGGCCGTACAGATCCCACTGACCCTTCCCAATCACTTTGATAGGCCATGTGTTGCAGCATCTTGTGGGACTCATGGGGAAGTGAAAGCGATAATATCCATCCAGTTCTGATTCCCGCTGAGCAGGACACAGAAAACAAACACCACTAATGCTGGAAGTCAAACAGCAGTTGTGAACAAATTTCCTCTTTGATTGAAATGCTGCTAGCTAGCAAAGGAGATAAAAAGGATTTTATGTCGAAAGCTTCTCTTGCTGTCTTATTAACAGCTGCATAGATTTACCACTCATTCACAACTATAGAAAAGCAACGCTTTGAGGCTGTGTATTTGAAAGCTTGTTTTGTTTGCTATACAGCTGGATATAGAGCATTTCCTTTTCTCTTTTTAACAAATTTGAAACAAATGTAGTGGATATTGTTTCTTTTTTCCCCCTATTTTTTAGCCTAGCTAATAGAATGTTATGTTGCTTTTCATTTTACATTGGAAAGAAATCATGCCATTTAACTCCAATTCAACAATGATGCAGCAGCATGTGGATATATATATATCTTCTCGTAAATATATTACTGCACATTACTGTCAAATAGCTGGACTTTTTCACCCAGTATTGAAAACAAAATTTAATTGCTACACTAGAGTTTCAAGGCCCTGATAAATAAGAGCCATGTTTGACCTTTATTGCGGGGCTTTGAGATGCCACCGGGGATATTGCTCATTGTTCAAGATGACAAACTTCCTCTGAGATTTCAGTTTGTCGGCTCAGAGTACAGCAGTGACATTGATTTCCTCTCACTGCCATTTCCTGCCTGAATAGATAACAAATTTTCTGTGGCAGGTGTCTGTCAAGCTTAGTTTTGCCTGGTAGATTGACTTAATAGACTCATTTATTAATCATTAGCTGCAACACAGTGAAGCAGACAATACTCTTTAATGCCTGTGATGTTGAATAGATGTACCGTTTCAAACTTCCTTGGTATAGCCTAAATTTAGATGTGATAAGCTGCTTATATCTCTGTAGTGAATGCTTCTAATTTGCCATTACTCATGTTGTGAAGAATAAAGATTTATGCATTGACTAAGTATGACCCATTTTGAGCGTCTACTACTACTCATGCCAAGAGGTGCGTGTGTGCTTTCCAAGACTAATCAAATAACACACAAACTACAAAATCAATGCAAATAAGTGAAAATCTAACCCAACATGCATCATATTTGAGGACATGACGATAAGAGAGTACAAGAAGAAAATAGATGCTTGGAAGGATACTTCAACAGCCAACTGACTGGCTGGTGGAGGGGGGGGGGGAAAGGGGAAGGGGAGATAATGGAGAAGCATTTAGCAAGGGGCAAAACAGAGCTGCAGATACAGCTGTAGTACAGTTCTGGCACAAGTTAGTATTACCGTGGGGATTGCTTCTTCCGACATGTCTTGAGACAGACAACAGGGCTGGAGATAGTGAAGGCAGAATGAGTACTAGAGATGGACATTGGACGGGGCTTGTCAGAGCGATGGAGGAGGAGGAATTGCTAGAAGAACTTAGCAGCCGAAACTGGAGGAGGAGGAAACTCCAAGAAAAGGCAAAACCGTGCAAAGTAGTGGCTTCTTGTTGCCCTCTTTGTTTTCTCATCCCTTTGCTCGTGGGTGAAAACTGAATAACTGCATGTGTTAGCCCTGCACAGTTGTACAGTCTATGGAACTGAAGGAGAAGTATATTTGCTTTTCTCCTGTGTGTTAGGAGGGTTGGTTATGAGGCGTTTGTCAGGGCAAACCAATAAAGGAGCTGGAAAGGCACAGACACTGCTGGGGACACATGGCAGAACTAATGAGCCTAGCTAGAGATGCAGACGGTTATTGGACAGAACCACGTCTTATTATAGGTGATGAGTGAGAGGAGAGCCACCAAGCTTCTCCCATGGGTTTTTGGTGGATTTGGAAACTGTTTACAACCTACTTTTAATTCTCAAGGGATCTCATTAGGCTGAGATCACTGGGAGATGTTCAAAAAAGTTTCTCTCTGCTGCTGATGCCCCATTTGCAAAGGCCTAGTCAGAGCAGAACTGTTTTTTAAGCCCATCGTTCATGGGAGTGTGTGTTACTGAAGATGGTTCTTCACCAGGCGATGTTCCTGGCCTTGGGAGTGTGTTACTTGAACCATCCTGATGGCTCTCTTGGCATGGAGTCAAACCAAGGATGTCCCTGCACTAGATCATGCTGCTTATTGCTCTTCTAGGCCACCCTGGTAACGATACATTAACTTCTCAGTGGGGAATGTGATAAACAAAGTAAAACTGCTTTAGTGAAACCAGTCATTTAATGGTAGCATGCATAAAGTGTCCTTAAAGATTTGTAAATGTAATAAGCTGCAGTTCACTACTGAACAATAACTGTTCCTAATTTAGCCAGTGAAGGAACATGCCGACCTAATTTGCTTTTGTAACTTTATGGGTTTTGTTTTTTTTTCTTTTCCCACCTTCTCTCCAGATTCCTTTCTCTCTGGTACAATTTCCGCTCTGGGAATCCTTAAAGGTAAGTCCTCTTTAATGATAGGAATATGTCATACATCCCACAAAGGCTTTCTGTGGTAATTTACCTAGCTTGATTATCACGTTTATGGACACACTGCAGAATCAACAAGTGTGTACCAAGCTGCCTGTGCATGTGAAGGTCTTTTGCCTGAATATCTGAAAAATAACAGGAATCATCTAAACCTTGATATGTGGTGTGCAGACTAAATTTTACTCCACAACATGCCAGAAATCTTATTTGCTACCTTAGCTAATTTTATTGATTGAAGTAGAGTGGGAGCTATTTGAATTGCATGATATTACTTTATTATTATTATTTAAATTTTTTAGCATTTTGGTCTTAGAGGTAACAGGAATTGTGACTGATACAGAGAAAACTGATTGAGCCTGTTGTTGTAGACAGGGAGAGATTCTTAGTATATCACTGACAAGTGATTTTGATTGGCTTTGTATACTTTATTTGAAAGGTCATTTAAGGAAGGTGTCAGTTGGATGACATTTTAATAGAGCAGTCTTTCAGAATGATGCAGTGTTCTCCCACCTGCTGGTTGCTTTGTTTATCAGGGACAGAGTCATGGTCTAGTGTTTAGAGCACAGAGTTGGATTTGAAGCTGTGTAATTTCTCAGTCCCTCTGTTTTCCCTTTAAATGGTGATGCTGGTTACTTCCTGCAAAAGGATAAGGGAAGGCCAGGGTTTTTCTGGTGCTTTGAGATCCTGGATTGGAAGAACAGAAAACTATTGTAAAGCTTTAACAGCGTTGTAGCAAAATGTAATATTTATAAGAGAGGAGAAGGGTAGAGATAGAGTAATTTTCTTCTCTTTAAGGGGCTGGACTTCTGAGACAGTCTGCCTTAAAGCATGGTCAGCTGTTTTTGAGCAAAGTGGTATGGCAGAGGCAGCAGCAACAGTGACTCCCTGGGTAGGCTCTGCAAAGTGTATGGGCTCTTTCCCCAGAGGAGGCAGATTCAGAGCAGATCCAGTCTGCATTCAAACATTCGGTACTTTCTGGAGACAGCAGAAGTTGTGCTGGTGGTTTTGGGGATGTGGATGCCTGCTCCCTTGGAACTTGGTTGAGCCTTCAGAATAATTTCCCATAAATGTTGAACAACTGTCAGCCGTTAACTATTTGTCTTTCAGTACCAGCCTCGCTACAGTGTAGTGCCAGGTCTTTGATCTGTTTTGCCCTCAGAGGCTGGAGGCTTGGCTTCATGCCTTCCTCCTCGTTATTCTGGCATTCCAGGACCCCTTCAGATTCTCTCCACTGGTATCCAAACTGGGAAGAGGTACTGAGAAGGATGGCAACTGGTGACAGCCTTCCTCATCCCTTGATGCTCCTAGTTAGGGACAGTGGCTTTATGTTCTCTTTGGTGCTTGTAAGCTCCTCGTTGTGTTGGAGGGTAGGAAACTGCCCTGAGCTGCATGGCCCTACTGTTCTCAGGCCATATCTTCCCACTCTTGAAGGCTGTGACAACAGCTGATCTTTTCTCTGTATAGTAGTAACTTAGGTTGTTCTGGGGAGATGAGCCCACGCCGTGAGCGTTAGCAGCTAGAGGCTTCAGTGGGAATCTGGTACCCTACGCTCCACCGACATTCACAGAAAGCAAGGGCTGTCCCAGACAGCTGGCCCTTCAAATGTAAGAGGAGTCCACAGGTAGGAGGTGCATGAAATATGGACGCTAGCATTCCTAAAGCTGAACTGGATTTTGCAGGTCCTTCCTGTGCTCAGCCTGATGCAATATCTGGGTATTGTCCCATTGCACAGGGTAGCTTTAGCTACCTTATTAGGAATCCGTTTCCCTGCCAATGTCTACGAACAGCTTTCTGTAAACTCTGCTGCAGTGATGCTGCTGTGACCTGCTGAATGTTAGTGCAGCAGCCTGCTTTGGGAGCAAGAGATGACAGTACTTAAAGAGAAAAAGTGCAGTGTTCTCTCCAAAACCACATAAAACGGCAACATTGTGGAGTTGTTTTCAGAATATAAAGTTGTTGTAACTAACGTTCACGTAGCTGTGGCGATAAAGTGTATTGTTTAAAGTGCTTAAGGCTTAAGGAAGACGAATTTAGCTAGTTAAAGGAGTGAGTCACTAGGACGAGACATCGTGTTTAATCAAAGGGGTCAGTGCAGATATGAAGAAAATTCAAATCAGGTTAGTTTGTTCCGTGGACGAGTTGCAATATATTCTTCTGCATATGGAACCATGAGTACAAATCTGCAAAAATCAATCTCACATGCTTCAGTCACTTTGGCTCAGCACATGGAGAGAGCTGAAGGTTTGTTACATCAAAGCCAGTCAGTGAAAGCAGGGTACGTTTTATTTAGCTGAATTAGGCTCTTAGAAAAGTTACCCTGACAGTGCAACAGAGGATGAAAAATGTCACGGCCCCATCAACTGGGAGAATATGGCCAGGAGCATCACTAGCAGTACGAGTCATGGTAGGGCTTCTTGCTGGCGCGTTGAAGTGAGAGAAAGTAATGAAGATGAGGTGGGAGTGCAATGGACAAACAGTGCAGAGCCCAAACACACAAGGCTTAACTGAAGCTGGTGGTTTGATAACGTCTAAGGGACTATTCTGTGCTGTATTAATGGGATTACTTGGGAAGGTAAATGCTGCAATAGTTATGTATTACATATGTGTTGTTCATCTCACAGAGGAGAATCGTTCAAGTGTTGTGATTGGGTGATTTTTATAGCTGCTGGTACAAAATTATATGGGCTGGTGGATGGTTGACTCAGTACTTCTCTGAGCAAGCTAATCACCTTAAGAATAAGGAAAAAAATACCTTTTTCCCTGTAAAGGACAGTTGGTGAGACACATGGAAGAGGAACAGATTTTCCTTTTCCTTCCCATATGTGCTGGTTGCAGCCAGCAGAAGGGTATTAGGCTTTAAGCCGCCTAATAAAGGCTAGTCACAGGCAGCAAATCAGGTGTTTCTATGTCCCTTTTTTGTCTCTTTGCTTTGCTCCAAGCAGCTATTCATTATGGTTCCAGCTGGCTTTAGCCACATAGTTTACACACACAATTTTCTTCTGCTTGTGAACGCAGAGCAGCTGTCCTATGTGAGAATAAACTTGCATACCACGCTCTAATGTAAAGTGAGTTAGGAAAAGAAGAGCAATCACTGAACTATAAGGTGGGTGCTGGTAAAGGGGGTATTGCACTGATTAACGAGAAATAAATATTGTTCCAGATAGTCCCTATTTCCAGTTACATAGGTGAGCATGCAAGTTAGAAACAGTTAGTAGAATCTTTTCTTAGATCACAATGACTTAAGAAGCAAAAGAAGTGATGGTGATTTTAATAAAAAGCTCTTATGTTTATTTTAATATAGCATCCACTGGTATTCCGTGTGTTTTACATGTGTCCTTTCCCCTCCCAAGGTTCAAAAATATAGCAATTGGTCTTTTTTTTCCAGTGTAGGCACAGATTATTGATATAAATCGAGAAGGAGAAGGAAACTGTATTATGATATATTAGATATCAGGACAGATGTTGTAATTCTGCTCAGGTGATCTAGCATAGTGCTTCTCTGTCTTTGAGCCCAGGCCGTACTTGACTTGACTAACGCAATTTAGGAGTCTTCTCAGAGTTCAGGAAAAGAAGGGGTGCTTCAAGTCTCATTCGATGCCTGTAACACCAACCCTGGGAGAAGCACCCTGGCTGATTACCACAGCAGCAGTTTGGTCAGATTTAGGCTCTTTTAGATGGGACTAATGCTTCTGAGCCCATCTCGGAGCCAGCTGGCCAGGAAGAAAGATGGCAGAACATAGGTGCATAGGTGCATATGCTTCTCAAACAGCAGCCAAGCATGCTGCCATCCATATCAGATCAAATTTTGGAACAACATTGTAAATTACAGTTCCCTTGCATGTTGCCCTGGAATTTCCAGGGTGCCTCTGTAACTTGCTTTGGAAATACTAAAGTGTTTTGTTCATTGTGGAAATTGCAGATTTATAGGAAAATTCAGATTACAGATTTCACAGAAACGAAATTTTTGTGGATTATAGGGAGTCTAGCCCATCTCTCTTGCTTTGACTCTGCTGCTGAGAGTATGTAGTCTCCACTCAGATGAGCAAACCACTGTGGAGTCCATCCCTTCTACGTTATCTTGTATTCTGCTCTGTTTAGGGTTTTAATTCTGTAATTCTAATCATAATTTCTGAGCACCTACCAACAGCATATAAGGGACTTATTCATTTGTTGCATGTTCCATTTTATCCCATAATTTATCTGTTTTAGACATTACTGAGCAGAAAGACAACTGAAATATCTGCTTTAGGGATGTTGCAGAAATGTCGGGCATCAGTTTGTTCAACAAAATAAGGGTTTTAAAAAATCAGAGTCAAGAACCCACTAACTAGTTTGAGTGCAGCAACATCTCTTCAAAAATGCCTGCTTCTTATGGCTAAGTGGAAATGATCAGCTGAAAATCTGGGTATCCCTAGGACAGCAATGCTTTGTATAAGATAAGCCTTTCTCTTAGGTGAACCAAGGCTCAATCCTCTTGATTTTTATGTTTCTACTTGTTCGCTGTTGTTTCAGAGCCGGTAAGAGTTACTCCAAAACAGCTGTAAATGGAGAATGCTCTCTTTATAGACCAAATGTATTGTATGTCTGTAGAAAGGCTCTGGTAGTCAGTGAGAAGGGAAGGAGCAGGCAGGGCAGGACATAGATCTCAAATGAGTGTAATTGAAAAATAAGGTTTTGGGTTTTTTTTTTTTTAAGAGGAAAAATAAACCTAGTATAGTGGGAACCTTTTGTGTTTTTCATTAGAAATGTCTGATTCTGAGATGAGACACTTGCGCATTGCTATGACTATGTAATGTCAGGGTCATGCTGACTTCACCCGCCAGCACATGTGCCAAAGATTGTTGCTCTTGCACACACAACCTCTCTAGGAGGGCTGTTGCAGACTGTGCTGCTTGGCTGGCCTGGGTCCTGCAAGGCAAGATAAAAATCTTGGACTGAATACAGCGGAGGTGAAGCTCTAGCTTCTCTGG